ATATAATAAGACTTGATATAATATTCATTTTTCGCACTGTCCAACCGTGCATAAAACTTTTTACAATAAAAGGAAAAAGTTTAGTTAAAATTTAATTTTTCTAAAAGTATTGCTTTTCAGGTTCTTAATAATTACCTTTAATATTTCAAATAAATATTCTACTAAATTATGCACTATTATTATTATATAAAAGAGATTGTTTCTCAAACTAATACTTTAAAGCCGGTTTTTCATCAAAGCAATAGTTTCTAGGTTATTTTTTGTTCACCAGAGTTGTAAAAGAAAATTTGCGTATCCATAGAAAGGTACCAAAAAAACCAAGCAGTATGAAACGGCGTGAATACACAAAAAGGTTTCTTAAATTTTTGAGTATTTTTTAAAAGCATTTGATGTCACTAAATTTGATTAAAGTTTTCACCTAATTGCTTACAAACAAAAAGTGTAAAAGCATATTGATTTCTCAAACTTATAACTTTGTGATAAATTTTAAGTGAAATAAATTTTAATATGTAAAAAAAAAAAATTAATTAAAACAAAATTCTACAGTTTGGGGCAATTTTATCAAGGAACATTAACAACGCGAGAACGCATTTACCAATTTGTTACTGGTCTGCAAATTGTGTGCAGTTTCTTATCATTACTAATATTATGTATAGCACTACCTGTTTTGTATAATAATGTTCAAGCAACTATTGATTACGTAAATGTTGGAATTGAGTTTTGTGAGGTGAGAAAAATTTTTAAGCTTTTTTTAATAATTCATAAATTTGTTAATTTTTTTCATTCATATTTTTTAGGCTTAAAGATTTAGATAGATTTGAAAAAAAATTGTAATAAACGCTAAAAATAATTAAAATAATAATTAAAAAATAATAAAAAAAGTAGAATAAATTAATTTGCAACGATTTGTAGCGTTCAAATCAAGAAGCAATGGTGGAAGTTGAACGTGGCAAACTGTACATAGTATCGAATAGGACAAAACGCCAAACATACGATCGAAATAGCGCATTCCAAGTAATTATTTCAAATAGTAAATAAGCAAAAATGTAACATTCAAGAAACAGAAAGAATGAAAATTTTTAATAATCTTTGTAAAAATTTTAGGTATCCAATTCATTTAGTAGAAATTTCATACTAGATGAAGAAGTCATTGGTACACCAATCGAAACTGAATGTCCAGGTTGTTGTATTCCTGGTCCACCGGGACCAAGGGGTGCAGGAGGTTCTCCAGGAAAACCTGGATCTCCTGGACCTGCAGGAAAACCAGGTATTCCAGGAACCACTCCGAACCAAACTTGCTCTATTCAAACAAATCGAGCACCACCACCTTGTCGACCATGTCCAAAAGGTCCACCAGGTATCAAAGGTTGGCCAGGGTTTCCAGGTGATCCTGGTCCTATTGGTGAACATGGGGCGAAAGGTATGTTGCAAAGAAAAATTTTATTATAAAACTTTTACACTGTATAGAATTTTATATTTGTGCTTTAGGTAAAGATGGTGAAGATGGGGCACCTGGTGAACCTGGACCTCAAGGTCTTCCTGGTTTTCAAGGTGGTCCAGGTGCACCTGGTGACAAAGGTCCAACACCTGAAGGAGATCTTAAAGAAGGTCCACCTGGAGATCCTGGACCCATTGGACCGATAGGTGCTCCAGGTTTACCTGGACTTCCCGGTCGAAATGGATTAACAGGTTAGTCTATTGCTTTTAATTCTCTCTTACAAGTGGAACAATCAAATATGAGTTACTAATAAAACTTTCAAATAATAATTTGCAGGACCACAAGGCGAACGTGGATGGCCAGGTCTTCCAGGTGAGCCAGGTGAACCAGGCTATCCAGGTCCTGAAGGTCCACCAGGTGAACAAGGCTCTCCAGGTAAGCTTAAGATCATTTTCAGAATGAAAATGAAAAAATTTAGATATTTTACTTCCTATTCTAATAAACTTTTTTTGTTCCTGAATAGTACTAGAAATAAAAATGTCAACAATAGTTACTTATTAAACATTATATTTAAGCTTTTGGCAATATTTTGTTTTGTATGCATACTTCAAGAAATCTACTCATTAATTTTGGCTTGATCTCTTTCATAAACTCAAGTGTGGTATAGCTTCGTTAGTAATAATGAGAATAATATTTGATGAACGTTATTTATTTTCTTGATAAATACTAAAATAGAGTAAATCTGACTATTCAAAACAAAAATTTTCAGAAAAATTATTGCCTTAAATGGAACAAATAAAATTTTTTATTTGACTGACATTTTAAAAAAATCTAAGCTTTTGATTTGCAAAATATGGAATCATTGGCTTAGGCTTTGATTATCGTCTTCCGACACATAAAATTCCGTGATATTATTTTAGCTATTCACATTCTACTTGTAATTTACGTTTAAATTTTCTTGTAAACACATAAGAAGTGAGGGAAGCTTGAATGGTTTAATTACATACAGACTTGTAATAATAATTAATGAAACCGATTTTCTTTTATTTTGAATAATATTTTCAAAAATGGATCGTATCCAGTTGGAAAAAAAATTTCGCATGTGCTAGACTTATATCTATTTATAATAAAAGTGACTTTCTGTATAATTAAACTTTTTTATAGTGATTTCAAATACATGTATTTTCAATCATAAAATTAACATATATTTTGTATTTATTCAACATGAAAAAACAAATTTCAGGTGAGCCAGGTATATGTGTATGTCAAAATGTTAACTCTATCATCCTTGTTAATCCATCAGCATCACAACCACGTCTATCAGAACAAATGTTATTCCAACAGCCATCAAATTATCAATCAAGTATGCAACTGCGCACTCATCACGATCAAAAGGAATATGGCGGTTGATAGCGGGAAAATATACGGATAACTTTTTCACTTCATTTGATCTTAAGTTTAATTTCTGCGCAAAATCAATTGCATTACTGTTACTAAAAAAGTAAAGGAACGTGAACGTCAATGTTTAAGGAAAAATATAATAACGTGGATGAATGAAAAAATTTTGATCGCAAACAAACAAAGTATGCTAGTTTAAAATGGATTTGGTTCAATGCTTTGAAAGTGAGTATATATATATATATATATTCATTTACAAATATATCAGTTTTGTTTATTTTTGGAGTGTAATTAACGTTTCTTAGATATTTGCCAAAAAATTTAAAGTACAACACTATTGAAAATACTTCATTTTTATGTGTAGGTTTTATTGCTCGAATTAATGTGTGTTAAATTTTTTGATAAGAAAAAAACACTTAGTGCACTCAGTCGTTTTTAATTATAGAAAGTTAAACACATTCTATTAAATTTCAAAGTTTTTTAAAGCTTTCAAATATGAGAACTTTTTTAGTATCAGTAACAATGATAATTTTTGCAGGAGTTTCTTGAATTGATTTTTTTAATCACTTATCATAATATCATTTCGAAGGTAATTTTGAAGGCGGTTTCGGTGGTACTAACCATTGTTGTTGTAATATAAATTGCATTTACAAGGATTTGGAATTTTCTTGGATATAGAATTAAATTTGCTCGAAAATACCATTTTCACTGTAATAATAATGATAATAACAATATTAGTAATAATAATAATAATGATAATAGTAGTGATAATTAATAATAATAATAAATAATAATAGTGATAAGTAATAATAATAATAAATAATAACAGTGATAATTAACAATAATAATAATAATAATAATAAATGGTGATGAAAATGAAATGTTTTACTGCATTTTTTGCATCTGAAAATAGTTTGCAAAATGTATAAAGTAATCATAGCTAAAAATATGCATTATTTAGCGAAAGCTAAAAGAAAATTTATTAATCTTTCTGTTCAATCTTACAAATGATAAATATTTAGCTAAAAAATTGGTAATTTATGATTGAAGCGTAAATAAACGCATTAAACAAATGCTACAGAAAAAATAAATGCTCACTGCAAGCTAATATTTTCAAATTATTTTTAAATTAGACACTGTTTTGAATAAGTATTTAAAGATAAAGTAAAATAAATAGCAGCACTCAAAAAACAAAACCTAATTAAAATTTTTTTTGACACAATTAAAGTGAAAAATCGTTTTTTTGGTACTGATAATAATTACAATTGTGTGGATCAAAGCAGAACATTCTATAATTTTATTAGCAATGCTATCAGTAATAATTACAGTAGCATCATGAAAGCTTTTTTGTTATCAGCAAGTAATCTTGCTCTAAGTTTGAAGCATCATCGTTTGATTTTTGAGTCACACTTGCAGTTGCAATTCTTTTATTAACCTGTAGCGTTAATATTAATCCTGCAAAGAGTATAAGTTAAATGAATTATTTTGCAAATTTTTAGTCAAAATGAATCTAGCTAGACTGCTTTTTTGATGTAGTTATTCTTTAATAACTTTACAAAAAATGTTCAAAATGATTCTGACTGCATGCATTTGTTTAAATCATAACCAATTAAAAAAGTAAGGAAATAGGCATAAAATCCTTCATGAATTGCTGAAAAAAGCCGTTGCTTCATTTGCATACAACGTAATGTTGCTGTAAGCGCACCAATCATAAGTGATAAGCGTAAAAGATGCCATACTGTTTGAAATTCACTATTAAAACCGGACATACTGAAAAATATTGATAATTTTAACAAAATTATTGCATTTTGAACTTTAAGCAATAATTAAATTTATTTTGATTTTTTGCTTGAGTTGTAATTGCAAGACAATAGTAATACAATATCCATCATACCGTAATAAAGCCCATATGAAAAAAACTAATATAATTGAGTAAACAACACGTTCTGAATAGCCACAGATGGACAACTGATGTTGGAAAATTTCTCCCGCTGATTTGGTATTCAGTTCAATATCAATTTTTTGATTTAAAGACCTGAAAGTATGACAAGTAGATTGCAGTACGACAGTGGTAGCTTTTTATCCTTAAGGATCAAAAAGATTTTGTAAATTGGAATATAATAAGATAATTAGTGATATTGTTTTTATCATTTTAGGACACTAAATTTTTGATTATTTTAAAACTTGATTAAACTTGATTATAATTTGAGCTTCTCAGACTTAAGACATGCATCTAAATATATTTGTTTCTTAAGTGCTACAAATTTATTTATTTCCAATTTTTTGCTCGTTCCTATTTCCAAACGTATCTTAAAAATAATATAAATTTTTTAAGTAAGAGTGTTTTTAGGACTAAACTCTGGAATTTTATAAAACACAAAACTGTTATCATTGAATATTTATATTTTTTGAAAGAGTGACTGTGATTTAAATGAATTATTTTTCGAAGTACTTATTAATGCATTATTATAGTATGTATTTTTCACTCAGCACCATTCTTTACCATTATAAGCATGCAAATTTATGATGAATAAAATGAAAAGTGATTTTTTTAATTTCTATATTTTTCTATCAAAAAATAAATTAGAAAAAAATTCAAGTGTGCTTTTATATATTAAATTAAAAATATATTTAGTAAGTAATTCTTGAAAAAATAAAATTTTAAACAATATTTATTAATGTATCAAATAAAAATTACTACTAATAGTTAACTCAAAATTGAAATGATTATAGTAATAATTAAAATACCAGTTCGTACCATAAGTATCCGTGCAACCATACCGGACTAAACAGAAAATCAAATATTTGACTGCTAAAAAACATTGCAAATAAAAGTCGAAAACAAAAATTAACATATTGACGAATGACTGCTTCACTGGGTGAAACTTTTTCAGGGGATAAAAAATATTGCATCTTATCACAAGTTATGCTAAGTAGTGATTATACAAATACTTCAATTGCATATCTGAAATAACCAATTTTACTATCACATCCTTACTTTAATAACATTTATAATAATAAAAAGTACGATAAAATTTTGGATGAATAATTCAAACAGAGAAATTTGAGCTATCAAAATTGTTGTTGCTATTTTACTTTATAAAAAACCTTATTTGAATATTAATTTCAGAACATAAATACTATGAAAATATTGCTTTTTACTAATCAAATTTTTTGTTTACTTATTTACTTTTTGTTTGCAAAGGTTAACAAACTATACAACTGAGCATGCATTATTTAATTATTCTTTTGAATTGCAAAAATATTAAATTAAGCATATGTTACTCTAATTTTGTCAATTTATTCAATAAAATATTAATAATTAAATTGTTAAAAACTTATAAATTATATTATTTTTAAAGAGTTCAATCATAAAATAAGACATGATTGGCGTTTAAAATTGCAGAATGGTTGTGTGACAGGACCAAACTTTCAAGGACGTTCCATATATTCGAGCATTGCACTCATTTTCTATTCATCCAACTATAAACCTTCTAAAATTTTTACATGTACAAATAGATAACTAAAAATTTAAGTATATTTGCTTGCAAATTTGTAATCAAAAAATACAAAAGAAACGTTTTTGATAAGCACAATATTCAATTTTAAATTGAACTTGATTTTTGATATTATTATCAAAAAGTGTACTTTTTTATAATGCTTATTAAATAATATAAAAATTAATCTCTACTGAGTATTTTTTTTGCACAAAATTCTACATAGCCATTGTCAAGCGTAAGAAAACAGTTTGCATATGGAATGGTTTTCATGTTTTACATTGCTGAATATCTAATAATTATATTAATTTGTTTACTTCTTTTTTTATTTTTTTGAGAATGACAATTAAGCTGGAAAAAATTTAAGTTTACAATAAATTATTGGTTATTATTTCTTAAATAAATCATTTAGTTATTAATAAAGTAAATTAATGTATGATAAAATTAAACTTTACTCAAAAATAATTCAAATGCTGACTAAAGCATTTTTATTTGTATTCTGAGAAAATATTGCGTAAAAAGTTTTAAATTAGTTTTTATTCACACACAAAAATAGACAAGTAAAAATTTATTTCAAGTGAAAATAATATTTTGAATTTTTAGATATAATATGTGATATTTTTTAACATAGAAACTTGATTAACTGTTAATATGCGATTGATTTGGATTTACTGATGCAAAAACAAACAATTCAGCTACTAACTAATTTTATTCAAGTTGAAAATTGCCTTTGAAATTAAACTAATCGACAAAATTTGTTTTCTATCAATCATTTTTGTTATTTATGCTGAAATTAAGTTATTTCTATATTTTGCTTGGTAACAATTTATTCTAATTTTCCATTTTATCAATATTTTTTATAAAATATCCACGATGAGTCATTTAGAAATATATTAAAAATTTATATTAAAAATTTGTATTAAAAATTAACAATACAAAATATACAGATTAAAATTTTTTTAATGTTTTAAAATATCTACTTTACTTTTTTGTATACGTTACTGCAACATTTTCAATGTAAAATCTGTATTATATATTCATTAGGATGTAATCATTTCAATAATTTAAAAATGAAACTAGAATAATATTTCAAATTTGCATATTTATATAACTATTAACCGAATTATTTTTTTTGTATATTAATTGAATCTGCAAAAAAATAATCAAATTTTTAGATTTTGATAATATTTTACACTAGTTTGTAAATAATTTGTTAATTTATTCTTATATCTTGCATTCCCTAAATAGTTTAAATTGCATTGAATTTTATTTCATTGCAGTTTTTTTGCTTTACTTTTTTAAAAAAAAAAAGTTAATCTTAAACTTTCATGGCTTTTTATTTACTTCCAATATTTTTGGCACAAAAACATTTCTTTTTCTATTTTTTATTTTTGGCTTATTTTAACTTTTTCATCTGAAAATTACTTCATGAATTTTTGCTTCTAAGGATTAATATAATCAAATTTGATTCCTTCCTTTCTTGAAGCAATGTCAATTCTTAAAGCTATATTGACAAATAAATATGTACTTCAGTTTCTGAATGCTACTTATATAGCCATCTCATTCTAAAATGATCATCTTTTGCTTTTAATACTTGAAGAACAGCAACTGCTTTCGTGACACTCAAATAACACCAAAAAATTGCAGTGTTTGTGTTTAAGTTAAAAGTTATCTATCATTACTTATTAATTTAAATTTAAGTCTTGAAAAGTTTTTGAATCTTTTTAGCTATGTAAGGAACAAATTAGTAAGAGATAATTTTTTGTTTAACAGTGTATAATACAAAAGTATAAATTTTTGAAAATTATTGAATATTTGTGAAAACTATACAACAAAGAGAGTAATTAAATTAATGGAATTTTTTTTTACTTGTAATGTCTTGCAATTGTGAGTAATTAAAAAAAGTATACATTAAAAACTGTTTCATTGGTGCTTTTTTTGCATTCTTTGCATTTTATCAAAATTAAAATTCATATTTATTAGTGAATAAATCTTAATCTTGAAATTATTTTTTCCAAGAAAAAAATGTACTGAATTTTAACTTTGTAAATGACTGCAAAATATTGCTTTTAAATTATTACTATAAGGTTTATCATTGAAATTCATAGTCATCAATTTAAAAGTCTAAATTTTGTATAAAACATTTTTGAATTTATATAACATTTGTGCAGTTTTGACTTTTATTTTTACTTTTTAGTACTTTTCATTATTAAAATTTCGAAGTGATATGTGTAAAGCTATAGTTTTTTTTTTCAAAGTTCATGCAAGAAATTGTAAACAGATTGATTTTAATAAATTTAAATTTAATCCTTACATTGCTTAAATTAAATTTTAAATTTGGACGTGTTAAACATGTATAATATGTTATACCTTATTTTTGTTACGTAAAAATAATAATTTTTTTGCCAACTCTCATTTTATAAATACTTATAGTATGTTACTTTTTATTTATGACCTATCACACATTTACTTACTAAGTCTGTTGATTGTTTACTTATATTTTGTTTAAACTGAAAGAATGCACTAATTTTAAACTGTTATATTTTTTACAGAATGTCAGTAATATTATTTAGTTAATAATTTCACTTTTTTCTGTCTAACTCATATCAAATAATTAGTTTACAGTCTTTTTTTTTCTAATAATTTTTTATATTGCAGTAAAAATAACTTATATAATATAAGGTAAAATATACATATTTTTTAAGCTAACTTTTACATGCACGATGTTGACAAAAATAGCAGCTAATTTGCCTGTGCAGGAAATCAAAATTTTTGGGATAATATACGATAAATTCAATAAAATCACTAAATTGATTCTAACACTTTAAGAAATAACAAAAGCAATAATAATATTATATTACTGAGTAGACAGATTAGATAGATAGATAGATAGATAGATAGGTAGATAGGTAGATAGGTAGATAGGTAGATAGATAGATGAATAGTAAGTAAAAGCATGGTTCTTGTTCATAAGTCATAAGTGTCTTCAAATAAACTAACTAACTAACTATCTATCTATCTATCTATCTATCTAACTAACTATCTATCTAACTAACTATCTAACTATTCAGCATCACAATTTCTAGATTTTGTTAGGAGAAAAAGATATTGAATTAGTTGAATAGATTGATTGTAGAATGAAATTTTTGCCGTTTACACAGCTGCTTTAAATCAAATTTGAACTAGAAGGAGGAGGAAGTTACGACGCTTCCAGAATATGCGAATTTTTTTCCATCGATTCGTATACTTTCATCAAGCCTTTTTCTTCATTTTTTAATCTTAACTATTTGCCACTATCTCAAGCATAATTTTTAATCACTTATAGTATTAATATCAATACTATTTTTTATAATGTTAAAACTTGTAGCCAACCGTTTTACTCTTTCAGAATTTTATCAGTGCAGTAAATTTACAAATTAATTCTATGAGTAAATAAGTGAACAAATTAACAAGAATCAATCGATAGTGATATAAATGTCAATATAATTCATAGTATTATAGGTAATAATTATTGCTACAACAAATCAGATAAATAGATTGGAAAGTGTGGAAGAATAGTGCTACAGTAACTAACTGTAATTACTTTCCTTTCTTAACTTTGTATTTGATTTTATCACTGCTTATCACACTCTCACTCATCTTGCTCAACTATTCTTGCAAATGATACTGATTTTGATTAAATCAATTTGGATTTATGCATATTTCAATTATTTTTCATCTCAAAAGTACTTTTTTTTTCTTTAAATTTGAACATTTCTACTAATTTATTTCGACAACCAAAAAATTAGCAAAATTTAATATCAAACAATAAGCTAAACTAACTAATCACAGAGAATAAAAGTTTAATTATCTAAAGATTTTAGGATAATTTATTTAATCCATTTAATGCATGCAAATTTATTACGATTTTAACAAAATGATGTAATTATGAGATTTTGACATTCACAGTGCTTTTAAAGCGAAATATGATAACTTTTGGATTTTATAATGATTAAAAATGAGATAAATGTCGAGATAATTTCAAGGAAACAATCAAAAGGCTTGTCAGTTTGCTGAAAAGTCTTTCAGTTTTCATTTTTTCTGAAATTCATATTTTAGATTTGAAATGCATATAGTTGGATATCAAATTTAAAAAGGCAAATAAATCTGAAAGTGTTACTGCTGAATTGCAGTTTAGTTTCTTTTCTATGCCTTCATTGCATTTTGTACTAATGTAAATATATATAACTAAATCTAAACAAATCAATATCTCTTTGATTTAAAATATATAAATATATATATATTTTAAATTATTTCAAGTATGATTTTACATGGATTGATTGGTGACATGATGATCATAAGCATACGATTATCACATTTATTTGTTCATTATGCAATAATTTTTTGTTCAATCAACATTTTTTATTGTCAGTGATT